TTCTGTTCTCCCATCTTTGCTGAGCAGCCCAGGATGAGGCATTTCAGTGTCAACCCCTGTCCTCAGGCCCTTGTGCTGTGATAATAAAGAGCTACAAAAGCAGGAGTTAGGCTGGTGTGAAAAAGGACGAATATTTGAGCTGGTTTGGGGTTTTTTGGTAAGTAATCCAAGAGGATCAGGAGAAGGGGGATCCCTGCACATTCCCCAGGCAGCTCCTGCCCCTGGGGAGGTGTCACAGATCAGCCTGCAGAGCTTCCCAGCTGGATCTGCTGGGCTGGGGGATCCAGTGCCCACCCCAGCCTCATCACTGAGCCCCTTTGGGAATCAGGAACCACTTCCCAAAAGGGTTCCCAAAAGGGTTCCCAAATGTTCCCAAAAGGGTTCCCAAAAGGGTTCCCAAAAGGGTTCTCAAAAGGGATCCCAAAAGGGTTCCCAAAAGGGTTCCCAAAAGGGTTCTCAAAAGGGTTCCCAAATGTTCCCAAATGTTCCCAAAAGGGTTCCCAAATGTTCCCAAAAGGGTTCTCAAAAGGGTTCCCAAAAGGGTTCCCAAAAGGGTTCCCAAATCTTCCCAAAAGGGTTCCCAAAAGGGTTCTCAAAAGGGTTCTCAAAAGGGTTCCCAAATCTTCTCAAAAGGGTTCTCAAAAGGGTTCCCAAATGTTCCCAAATGTTCCCAAGAGGGTTCCCAAATGTTCCCAAATGTTCCCAAATGTTCCCAAGAGGGTTCCCAAATGTTCCCAAATGTTCCCAAGAGGGTTCCCAAATGATCCCAAATGTCCCAAATGTTCCCAAGAGGGTTCATCGCTGCCCCAGGCTGGCTGGGGTGGGGGCCTGGGGTCCCTCCTGTGCCACACAGGATCCAGGGAAGGAGAAGCTCCTGTGGGTGAAGCATTGCTGGGAATCTTCAGGTGGCTGAGCTGAGCTAACCCTGGGGCTGAGGGTGAAATGCCCCTGCACAAACCCAGGACAGAGCCCACATTGTTCCCCAGCTGCCAGAGAAAATATCCCAGAAAATCTCCTGTAGGCAGTGCAGCTCTGGGGCCATGAGACACATCACGGTCTCCTGGGCCCGTGGATTGACACCGTGTTGTGCTTGGCACCCCAGCAGTGTTTTCCATCCTTAGTCTGTGTTTGTTGTGTTTCTTTCTGTGGTTTTTTTCCTGGTTCTGTCTCAGTTTGGATTTCTGCCTGGCTGTGTGAGTGGGGCTGTGACAATGCACTCACTGCTGGCTGTGCTGTCACCTTGTCCTCAGGTGTGCTCCTTCATTAAACCTGCAAAGAAATCACAAAATCACAATTTAGCTGAGAGGTTTGGCTTCAGTAACGAGGCCACTCAGGGGATGTTGTGTTCCTGACAGGGTTTACAGGCTGAAATCTCTGCCCAGCTGCTGGCCTTGCCCCATCCAGGGCAGTGCTGATCCTCCCCTGGATTTCTGACAAGAACTTGGGGAACACCAGGGCTATTTCAAGAGAGGAGATGCCCAAACCCAGAGCGGATGAAACCCCCACAGGAGCTGCCTGGGGCATCCCTGAGCTCCTCAGGGCTGGGATCTCTGTTCTGTGGCTCTGAATTCCTGCTCTCCGTGGATTCCTTGCTGCTTTGACAATTTGATGCTGCTCTGTAGCCACCAGCATCTGGCATGGCCAATATTTAGGTTGGAGGCTTAATCAGGTGTAGTGGAGAGAACAAAGGCAGCAACACAAAGCTCAAAGGGCAGCAAAGCCTCCCACAGAAACCCAGCAAAGGCAGAGGGAACACAAGGGATCTTTCCTGCTTGGCTGATGTCCCCACCTGGACCCTTTGGGCATGTTCTCCTGTCCCAGCACAGCCCTGAGTGTTTATCCATCACCAGGAGAAATTGGGGAAACAGAGGTGGGGTGGGAGCGGGAAAGGGGCTGGGATCACCTTGTGTCACACTCCCAAGTGTTTGGAAACAAACAGACTGCTCCCTGCCCCAAATCCTGCTCTGCTCCCGGTGTTTGTGTTTCCCTGGCCAGGGAAAGGAGCTCTGGCTCAGCCAAACAGAGCTGGGAGCTTGGAATGGGCAAACACGGCCTGGCCACGTGCAGGGGGCATCACAGGCAGCGAGGAAAGTAAAGTTCAGCTGTGTTTGGATCTGGATTTGGGTGGATCTTTCCTGAAGCTGTGCTGCACAGAGGCTGCTGATGGCATCTGGGGGAGCAAACTGATGACAGTGTCCTGTAGGTCCTGGTGCCAAAAAGGTGCCTCAGACATGTCAGACACCTGCTTATCTCCAATCACCCTCCCTCTGCAGGTACTGGGCAGCCCTGGTGACCTTTGGGAACAGGGTCAGAGCAGGGCTGAGCTCTGAGGACAGTAAATGGGGTGGAGGTTCCCTGACCCCCCTGCAGGGTGGTTCTGAGGGATGCACACAGCTCCAGACACACATCCCAGTGCCTCCCAGGGATCTCTGGAACAGAAAGAAGCTGGGATAAAGGTGCAATTCCTGTCATTTGTGCCACTCCTCAGCTGGGTGAATCCCAGCCTTGCTGGGACCAGTGCAGTTCCCAGTGCATGGAGCAGCTGCTCTGACTTTGAGGGCCCCTGTGGGTTCTGAGCACCAGGAAACTGCTGGGGCAGCTGAGATGATGCTGTCCCCATCCTGCTGTCCCCATCCTGCTGTCCCCATCCTGCTGTGCCCATCCTGCTGTCCCCATCCTGCTGTGCCCATCCTGCTGTGCCCATCCTGCTGTGCCCATCCTGCTGTGCCCATCCTGCTGTGCCCATCCTGCTGTCCCCATCCTGCTGTCCCCATCCTGCTGTCCCCATCCTGCTGTGCCCATCCTGCTGTGTCCATCCTGCTGTGCCCATCCTGCTGTCCCCATCCTGCTGTGCCCATCCTGCTGTGCCCATCCTGCTGTGCCCATCCTGCTGTCCCCATCCTGCTGTCCCCATCCTGCTGTGTCCATCCTGCTGTGTCCATCCTGCTGTCCCCATCCTGCTGTCCCTGCTGGACTCTCGTGCCAGGAGCACCAATGTGTGCCCACGCTCTGGCTGGGCCAGGGAAGTGCCTTTGCTTTCTGCAAAATTCCCTTGTGCCTCATCCCATGGCTTCCCCCAGCAGAGGTGAGGGCAGGGAGCAGAAGGGAATCACACAAGGAATGTTTTAGCTGAGGGAGAGTAAAGCTGCCAAGCATTTCTCCTCCTAACATTGGTGCTTTTTTAAGCTCCTGAATGCTTTGTTGGCCCATCCTGCCCTGCTGTGTCTCACCCTGAGCCCCAGCTCTGCTCTGCCTCATCCCTCCAGAGGATGGGATTGAGAGTGAGTGAGGATTCCTGTCCGGACAGGACCGAACAGCCCCGGCTCCCAAATCTGACTCATCCCCACGGCCCTGCTCGGAGACAGCAGCACAGGGAGGAGGGAGCCAGGGCTGCTGAGGAGCCCTAAAGACAACAAAACTCCCAAAAAACACCTGCTGGGTGAAACTGGGGCTGGGCAGAGCTGGGAGCAGCGGGCTCAGTCCCGTTATCCCGGTGCCAGCCCAGCCCTGGGCACAGAGAGCAGCAGGATCAGGAGCCTCGAGCCACCTGCAGGGCTGGTGCAGCTCAGGTGTGCAGGGAAAAGAAAAAGATTCCTTAAGGAAAAGGTGACAAGGACAGCAGAAACAGCCCTTGGAGGCCTCATGGAAAAAAAATCAGCTGTAATTCCTGAGCTGCAAAGTGTTTGTGAGGCATCAGAGCAGGGATCTGAGCCAAGGAGAGCTCTGGGGTCGGATCCAGGAGCATCCCAAGCCACCCTGCACAGCTGAATGTGGTTTTGGTGCAGGGTGGCAGTGCCTGGTGACCATGGGGAGCTCCAGGGATGCCAGGTTCCTTCCAAGAAGAATTGTTGTTCTATGAATGATTCACTTACAAGTCTAGACCAGGACTTATTACAAACACATGGAGAGTGGCTTGATGAAAACAATATATTCCTTATAAAAATGTCATTAAATTGTAGCATTCATTGCTGTAATCCTGAAGGTTTCCTTTGCCTTTCCATGAAAAAATCATCAGCAGGTGATGCCATGGTTTAACTCCAGTCAGCTCTTGGCAACTTTTCAGATTTAAAGAAGCTTTTTAAACCTTTCTGCTAATAAAACCCAGCCTTGCCCTTCCTGGACATTTCTCCTTTGAGGAAAAATGAATTTCTGTCCATGGAGAGGTTGTTTTGTGGTGAATGGTGTGAGCTGTGGCGGTGACAGCGGGTGCAGGTGACAGGAAGGTGTGACAGGAGCTCTGTGGATGTGGTGGGATCCAGTCAAAGGCTGGACTCGATGATCTTTTCCAAGCTAAACAATTCCATGATTCCAAGCTCTCAGGGAATGCTGGGCTGGCTGCTGGCAGGGTTTGCTGGAGGAAAAGGAGAGATGACCAGTGTTTGGGTAATTAAGTGTCTGACAGTTTATTAACATAAGATGGAGAGGCCTGGAGAAAGTGCCAGAAGTGAGGACAGGCAGGGCATTATTTTGGTGTGTTGCTTCTCACGTAGTCCCACGAGCCTCACCTCAGTCAGGAATTTTTTAGTGGAAGGGAGGGGGTTGCAATCTGCCTGTCTGCTTCCCTCTGAGTAAAATCATCTGCAAATGATTGGGGAAAAGTCATTTAAAAACCATGAAGTGCAGCAAAGGAAAATGATGAGGTTCATGTGGGCACTGAGTGCCTGTGTCTGACTGTGGGCTGTGCTGGCCTGGAGCTCCACATCCAAGGGAAAACTCTTCCCTGATCCCTTTTTAGTGCCCAGCACCCTGGGACAGTGCAGGGTGGACCTGGGGGAAGGAGCAGCTGATGAGGTTTCACCTCCTTGGGCAGGAGAGAGGGAGCAGCTGCCCCTGGAGAGGCTCTGGCCTGATTTTGGATGGAGGTGGTGATCCCAAAGGCTCTGGGAGTTCAGGACCAGGAGAACATCCCTCCCCCATCCCACATTCCCTTTGGGAAGCCTTTGCTGTGTTCCTGGAAACCTCTGGGGGAAACGCTCTTCCCTCATTCCCCTTGCCCTCAGTTTTAGATCCGTGCGCCTGATGAAGAATGACACCATGAACTTCCAGAAATTCCCCTACACCAGCGAAGATGAAGCCTGGAAAACCTACCTGGAGAACCCCCTGACTGCAGCCACCAAGGCCATGATGAGGGTGAACGGGGACGACGACAGCGTGGCCGCCCTCAGCCTCCTCTACGACTACTACATGGTGAGAGCCCCTGGCTGGGGCAAAAAAGGGGTAAAAAGGGGTAAAAAGGGGTAAAAAGGGGTAAAAAGGTGAAGAATTGTGTTCCCTGAGTTGTTTATCCAACACCACACGGTGCCACCAGTATCCCCAGTGGTAAACTGAGGCACAAACCAGCATTTTGAGGGAATCCAGAACTTCTGGAGAGCCTGAACCCAGGTTTTGGTTTGAGTCTTATTTTACCCACAAGGAGCAGCAGTGCTTGGAGGGCCACAGGTTTTATTCTGCCAGCACTGCTGTGGATGGAGCTCTGAGAAATGAGGATTTGATTTATCCCTGACTGGGAGCAATAGGAATGATGTTTCCACTCACTTGGGTGTTTTTTAAGGACCCAGAACAAGCTGCTGTGGCTTGTCCAAGGTTATTTGTGAAGCCAGCAGCAGCCCAGGGGAGAGCCCAGCTCTGCTGTTTGTTATTAACTCTGGGGTTTTGTCTGGGAGACTTCACTTGCTAATTCTGCTCTGTTTTCCATCAATAAAATCCAACACTGACCCAACTCTTTGCTCTGCCTTGTCCCAGGTCCCGAAGGAGAAGAGGATTCTCCCAGCTGGGATGATGGGACGCAATGACCTGGCAAAGAGGTTGGCTTCAGTTCCTGCTCTCTGGAGCTGCCTCACTCTCCTGCAGCTGCTGAAATGCAGGATGGGGCTCTGAGCTTGCAGAAAATAGACATCAAAGCACGGTGTTATTACCAGCAACAGTGCAGCTCATTAACCCTGAGACACACATTAAAATTCTTTAGGCCAGGTCCCAAGCGGGTATAAATGGAGCTACACCCATTTACACACCTGAGCATGTGGCTGGCTGTTCACAGGGGTTGTGCTGATTTGCAGCAGCTGAAGAAATTCCCTTTATTTCCTATTTTGTGACAATTGCAAAGGGAAGAAGGATTGAGCACTGGCAGCAAGAAGGGAATGGCCAAATCCTCGTTCATTCCCTGGGCTGATGAGAATCTCTGTTCCACTCTCCCAGGATTCTGTTCCAGTGACTCCCATTTGTCCTTTGAGGTTTTCATATAATTAGCTATTAAATTAATGGCTCATTTGCCACTGTGAGTTCAGTTCCCCTTCCTGGATGCTGTGTACTTTGGCACTGTCAGTTTTTAACCACTTGACAGAATAAACTTCAAGTGATACTTCATTCCTTCAGAAGTAAACTGAGTTAAGTTTTTGTTCTTGCTTCCTAAGAAGTAAAAACTGATCCTGGTTTTGGTTTTTGCTTCCTAAGAAGTAAAAACTGATCCTGGTTTTGGTTTTTGCTCCCTAAGAAGTAAAAACTGATCCTGGTTTTGGTTTTTGCTTCCTAAGAAGTAAACTGATCCTGGTTTTGGTTTTTGCTCCCTAAGAAGTAAAAACTGATCCTGGTTTTGGTTTTTGCTTCCTAAGTTGCTGGAGTTTGGGAGTCTGTACAATAATTGTTTTTTCCTTTAAAAAAGGGTATAAAAAATTAACTTGCAGCATCAATGAGCCATAAACAGATTTATAATGGACAGCTCACACAGCAGTTACATTTCTTATCACCCCTGCTGCTTTGAGTGTGTGATGGCCTAAATAAAGCAAGAGTGGAAGTAGGCCCTGGATGTGCAGCCCCAAACCAAGTCCAAACCGTGTTCCCTGACTCCCTGTGATCATCCCTTACCTGCTGAGCACCTCTGGCTCCTGCTGACTGCCCTGGGAGCTGTGGGGAGATCCCCCAGGAGCTGCTGGGGCTGGCTCAGGGTCAGGCACTGCCCCACCGTGCTGGGGGTGCCACTCTGAGCCAGGACCTCTGTCCAGCAGGCACTGCCACGGGATGGATTTTGAGCCTGAGATCCCCTCCTTCGATGGCTCAGCCCATCTCATGAAGCTCCTGTCAGAAAACGTCTCCATGGCCCAGGAGTTCTGCGAGCCCCCCAAGAAGAACGGCCTGAGCCTCGAAGGTGTCCCTGCTCCTCACAAGGCAGCCCTGCTCCCTCCAGGCACCAGCAAGCTGGAAGCCACCCCAGAAAACTTCCTGGTGGCCCCGGGGGACGTGTACGACAGCAGCTCCCTGAACTCGCTGTTCGAGAGCCTGCCCATGGCCCCCGCGCAGCAGCGCTGGCAGCCCGACAGCACCTTCAAGGAGGACCCCCAGGAGGTCAGGGCTGGGGATTCATCTGGGGGCACTGAGAGCTTTGCTTTTGTGTTGGAAGCTTGGTGGCACTCCTGTTGTGCTGATTTTGAAGCAGTGAGGCTCCCTGTTTTGCCTGCTGTGGTGTTTGGGAGGAGGTGGATGGACAAGGCAATGAGAGATTCTGATTTTGTGTTTGTTGTCTGCAGTCGCTGCTCTTCAGTGACATCCTCAAACCCCAGCCAGAGCCACCCTGCCCCGAGAGCTTCCCCACGGATGGAGTGAAGAGGTAACAGCAATCCAGGGGCTTGGGGATTCCAGAGAACTCCTGGCTCTGCCTCTCTCCTGCATCCCTTCCCCATCCCCAGTGCAGCCCTGGCAGTGCAAACTGCAGATCCCGAGTTTTTGCAGATTTGTGGCTCCCTGGTGTTTTTGGGTGCTGCCCCGTGAGATTTTAGACCCAAAGCAGGGATTGATTGTTCTGTGCCCAGACTGGGGTCAGTGCAGGGCCAGCTGCTGTCACATCTCAGGGTGACAGCCCCTTCCCAGGGAGCTTGGCTGGGTGACACAGAGGGATCCAGCTGGCTGCACCATCTTCCCACAGGCCACGGAATGGGACAAATGACAGGGAAAAGGAGGCTGGCAGAGCATGAGGGTGATAATCAGCCTCCCCTAATCTAAGGCTTAGGTTCTCACTTAGCACTGTTAGTCAGCCCTGATTTTAGAGGGTGCCACTGCCTCTCATTCCTAAAACATGAGAGGGATTTCTTCCTCCTTTCCTCCCCTCTGCCAGGCAGAGCTTTGCTGCTCCAGATACCAAATCAAACCTCCCAGCAGGTAACATTATTTCACCTCCCACTTTTTATTTGCCTCCTGAGTCAGCTGACTGGGTGACTCAGCTGTCAGACGTGGGGATGTTCACACAGACAGCAGCGTCTCCTGAGCCAGAGGCTCCCTGCTCACTGTTTATTTGTGCACTCAACTTCTCTGGCTCTCCTGGCTCCAGATAAGAGGAGCTGCCAAGCCCATCTTCAGAGATGGCATCACAGGAGGTGGAGCAGGAAGAAGATGGGTTGGTGACTAAACAGGGCATTTGAAGGGTCTGAGTGAAGGCTCCTGTACAGGTGGTGGCTTGCACGGATTCCTCACAGCAGAAACCAGCTGTGGCCTCATGGTTTCAGTGTTCACAGCTGCTGGTGAAGGCACAAGAGCTTCTGAATTCAGGCTCTTTCAAACTCCCTTGCCAGCCATGACACCTGTGTGCCATTGCAAAGCTTTTCTGTAAAGATGAAACTTGGTGCCCACCACACTGAGGGTCCCACGAGCTGGGATTCTGAGTCCAGTTGTGCACAACCAAGCAGGTGTTGATGTCCTGCAGGTCCTTTTTCTACAGGACCATTAAGGGAGAGTCTTCCTGGCTCAGCCAGTTATAGGGATGGATTTGGAGACAGGAACCTGAGTTGAGGATGTTGTAAAAGCCTCATCACAGGTACCCATTTTTGTGTGTTTTGCTGTAGGCTGCTGCTTGAGCAATGCTTCTGTTGCCATCCACACAAAAATCCTGGCTGCAGTCACATCCAGGGGTTTGAAAGCCAAAAGCGAGGGGTAAAACGAGGCTGTTGGAGCAGTGCTGCTCCCCAGGGTGTTGGGGAGGATCAGAATGTGCTGTGCTGTGTCAGGGTGTGTGAGGTGGGGAATGGAGCAGAAACTGGAGCCTGTAACCCGCGGGGTGGAGGCTCCTGGGGCTCTGTTTTGCTTTTGCACTGAAACAGCAGCGTGTGCTTATTCATCCTTCTCTCTTTGTTCCATCCAAGTGACTTTGAATACACTCTGGGGTCACCCAAAGCCATTCACATCAAATCTGGGGACTCTCCCATGGCCTACCTCAACAAAGGACAGTTCTACCCCATCACACTGCGGACAGCTGGAGACAGCAAATGTTTGCACTTGTCCTCAAATAAAGTGAAGGTAAGAGTCAGAGACAGGCTGACAGCTGTGCTGACAGCTCTGGAATGGCACATCCAGCAGCTCCACTGGCCTGGGAACGGAGCTGAACACGAGCAGTAATGGCTTTGTGGCTCATGTTGGCTTAAAGGGATGAATGGGATGGATTCAGCCCCACGGGATAATCCTGTGCTGCACTGCAGAGCCTCTGTGGCAGCTGGGACTGCACAAAGGGCCAGTGGGGTCCTGCTGGGAAGAGCTCTGAGCCAGCTTCAGGGTCCCCATCCCGCTCCTGGGATGTGTGGCCAGCAAACCCCGAGATGAAGGTGCCAAATGGCTGAGCCCAACCCCCTTCCCTTGCCCTCCTCAGCTTCCCCAGTGTAAAATTTCATGTTTCACATGGGCCTGAGGGCAGCGCAGGGTGGGAGGGCCAGGAGGGCACTGCCCCTGCTCTGTGCTGAGCTGGGCTGTGTTGCAGAGCGTGGTGATGATCGTGTTTGACAATGAGAAGATCCCCACGGAGCAGCTGAAGTTCTGGAAGCACTGGCACTCCCGGCAGCCCACGGCCAAGCAGAGGGTCATCGACGTGGGTACGTGGGGCTGCCACTCCTGGGGGCTGCCACTCCTGGGGGCTGCCACTCCTGGGGGCTCCCCTTGCTCTGGGACTCAGCCAGGACCAGGGTTTGGGGGTGGGAGGCCTGGGCAATGCCACCAGTTTCAGCCCCAGCATGAACTGCTCCTGCCCTGCCTTCCAGCTGACTGCAAGGAGAACTTCAACACGGTGCAGAACATCGAGGAGCTGGCCTACAACGCCCTGTCCTTCGTGTGGAACATCCACGAGGAAGCCAAGGTACAAACTGCCCGTGGAGGGGAGCTGGGAATGGTGCTCAGCAGAAGTGCAGCTCCCTCCTGACAGCCCAGGCTGTGCCCCAGGGCTCAGCTGAGGGACAGAGCCTCAGTGCCAGGCCCCAGGCGGTGTTTGCCTGCCAGGACAGCAGCAGGACACCGTGCCTTGCTGTGTGTTTAAGCACTGCCATGAGCTAATAAACACTCTGGGTACACCCAGACTGGCTCAGGGATGTTTTCTTAGTGCTGATGGATAACTCTGAAGAAGGGGTTTTGCAGCAATTCAGGGCTCTGCTCACGTGGACCTGCAGCCTGTTGAAATAACCCCCAGCTCAGGGAACAAAGAGCCCCTTCCAGGCTGGGTGATGCAGACAGGACTGACCCTGCTGTGCCTTGTGGGATGTGGAAAGGAGCCAGGCAGGTCACAAGATCCCTTTTCACCTTAAAACCGAGAGAAAGTTTATTACAGCAAAGTCTTTGCAGCTCTGCTGTCTCTTCTGCATCTCCTCAGTCTCTCATTAACACTTTGTATCTAGTGGGGATTGAAAAACAGCTGAAGTAACTAAGAAAAAAAAGAGAAAAGCATAAATACCCCAAGTCTCTGAAGCTTGGGAAAACCCTGCCTGCCTCTGGGATCTCAATGAGCCCAAAGGCAAGCTGGGTCTTTTACAACCCAAGAGGTTAACAAATGTCTTCAAGGCAGAGCTGTCAGAAATGGAAATATGTCAGGTATGTGGCAAGCCCTGGGGGCACCTCAGCAAAACTGGATTTAACTCTTAGCAGAAACTCTGCTCATGCACTGGCCTGGGGCAGGTAGAGGTGAGACTTCAGAGGGCTGGGAGTGAGGCAGGAGGGGTCAGGGGCTGGGAGCAGGACTCAGGTATTTGGGTGTTTGGGTTGTCCAAGGCACCTGTCACTTCTTCCAATCAACCTGCACCCCACAGCCAAGAGGTTTTCTTTCCTAGGAGCTGACATCAGGTTTCAGGGCTGAAATCCTCAGCTGAGAGAGCTCTGGGAGCTTCTCCAGCTGCAGATCTGTCCCCAGGGTCCAGGGGAATTCCAAGGTCACATCAGTGAATTGGCAGTTTGGAGATACAATTTGGATTAGAGCTGTGCTCAGCTTTTCTTCCAGGGTTCCCACTGGAGTTAACTCCCTCCTGGTGATAAAAGAGCTCAGTGTGGGATGAATATTTATTTAAGCAGCACTGCTGTGCAATTCCTGAGGCTGCAGCCTCGTCCTCCTCCCTTCCTGCAGGGCTTTGCTGTCTGAGGGTCCCTTTCAAATGAAAGATGAGAAATATCAGCAAGAACATCCCCAGGCAGGATTTTGGGAGTGGAGAGGCTGAGCTGAAGAGCTGGAATAGGTGTGGGGGGAGAGGCTCAGCTGGGAAACCAACTGCTCCAGCACCAAGGATCCCTGTCCCTGCTTGCAGGTGTTTATTGGGGTGAACTGCCTGAGCACGGACTTCTCCTCGCAGAAGGGAGTGAAGGGTGTCCCCCTGAACCTGCAGATTGACACCTACGACTGTGGCAGTGGCAGCAGCCAGCTGGTGCACAGGGCTGTCTGCCAGATCAAGATCTTCTGTGACAAGGTACAGCTCTCCTTTCCCACCATTTCAAACTGCTCAGAGGCCCCAAGAATAAACCAGAAAGGTTCTGAGAGCCTAGAGCAGCCCAGACCTGTGACTGTGTCTCACCATGAACTCCATTTTTGACTCTATTTTTGACCAGTTGTTAAATATCAAAATAAATGAGAGTTTCCTTGGAGGTTCTTCCCCAATCTCAGATATCTGGAAAAAATTCTCACAGCTATTCTTGTCTGCGTGTTTCATTTTTAAAAGCCAATTTTGTTTTTTGCTTTTCTAATTCCTGAGTGTCAGAGAGTCCTGGCTTAGGGGAGGGTCCCTGGGGTGACCATTTCTGAGCTGAGGCTGCTTCACCTTAATGTGTCACACCCTGAGCTGGTCACAGAGCCCCTGTCAATGCTGGAAATGCTCATGTCCCAAATTCTGCTGGATCTTCCCACAGGGAGCAGAGAGGAAAATGAGGGATGATGAAAGGAAACAGTTCCGGAGGAAAGGAAAATGCCTGGACTCCAACAACAATGGTCAGTGCCTGCGTGTGCTCCCTGCCCTGAGCTGAAATCCCTGCTCCCTTCCAGGGATCTGCCTGTTCCAGACCTGCACTCAGACCCTGCTGGGCTCCTTCCCATTCTCCCAAAGCCCTTTCTGAGCACCCACCAAGCTTTGGGAACGGTTCTGGGCTCCCTTGGGCCGCCCTGGAGCTGCTGCAGGCTCCTGGGCTGTTCCCTGTAGGAGACGCTTTCTGGGGACGGTCAGAGACACGGCAAAGACCTCTATAATCGAGTTAAGTGTTAGAAGTTTATTTCAGGGCGTGGGGTAGAGAGGTAGAGAGAGAACAAGAGAGGGCAAGAGAGACGGCAAGAGACACGGAAAAAAAGAGCAAGCAAGAGAAAAAAAGAGAGTGAAAAGAGAGAGAAAAAAAAGAGAGCAAAAGAGAGACGGGAAAAAAGAGACCGAGCTCTTCTATACCACTACTTATATAACCTATACCTTTGAATATTCTATTCCTTAACTAACCAATCTTTCTAAGTATACTAATATAGTAACATTTGTGTACAACCTATAGAAATCGCTATTTTTGCATATTTTTAGTTATCTCAGGGTCCTTCAGACCTTTCCTTATAAGGCTGGGATGAGGGGTCTCAGCTTGGTTTTATTCCAGGAAAGAATGTGTTCTGGCATACCAGCCCGGTTGGTTTCTTTGAATTATTCAAACCGTGCTATCATTTGTATTTCTTCCTTAGCCTTTCTGGCTACAAAATCATATTTATAATTTCTTTCTAATTCTACCTTCCCAACAGTTCCCAGCGCTGCTGCTGGGAGCCCTGGGAAGGAGCTCCCCTGGCCCAGATCCGAGGGAGCCGAGATGAACTGGACTCTCCATCTGTAGGTCTGAAAGGCTGTTTGCTCTCTGGCTTCAGAGGGAATGAGATCACGTTCCTGCGGCCCGAGAGCGACCTGGAGACGCAGCCGGTGCTGTTCATCCCCAACGTGCACTTCTCCACCCCGCAGAGGTGTGGCTCGGTGAGTCCTCAGCCCCTCCAGTGATGGCTGATGGGCCAGGAAAGCTCTCCAGGCTCCTTCCAGCCAGATATTCCTGTGCTTTACACACCTGCAGCTTCCACACAGGACCCAAAAATAACAGCAGAAAATAAATTCTAGCAAAATGTGACCATCTCAGTCCCTGTGTGGGTGGGACGTCCCCTGACTGCTGTCCAGTGTCCTTCAGAGCTCCTCAGCGTTCCCTGCCTCAGAAACCACTGCCTCAGTTTGTCAGAAACGGGGCATCTGGGGAGTTTTTTATATCAAATTTATATCAAATGTGAGAAACTGATGTTTGGGTTGAATTGTTTGGGAAAACTGATGGGTCAGGAGGAGGGAAATGATGTTTAAAGTGTGCCCAAGTTGCCTCCCCCCAGCTGTGCAAACTCTCAGATCCATTTCCTTTGCATTCCAGGTGCTCCCTCCCGCTGTTCCCAACTCTGCAAACAGGTGAGGATGCAGCAGTGTGCAGTTCCCACCCTCTGGGAATGTCAGGGCTGCTGGATACCCCCAGGGGCAGGATAACACAGCTCTGTGTCTCCCTGATGCCCTGAGAGTCAGAACATGAGTTAAACCTTGTCCTGGGAGGGACCATGGACACGTTTCTGTCCCTGTCAGAGTCACTCCAACACGAGCTGCTCCCTGTTGCTCTCATGGAGACGATGTTTGAAAGGGAGAATAAAGGATCACAACTGTCACTGAAGGGTTCAAACACCCAGGGGCTGGAAAATGAACTGGAATGAAGTGGTCCCAGCCTGGGCCCCCCCTCTGTGTGGGGATAGCAGTGGGGAAGCAGTGCCAGGAGGGTGCAGAAGGCTTTTGGTGACCCCAGATCCTCCTGAGCTGCCCGTGGGCTTTAGGCAGGAAGTTACAACTCTGCTGCTGTAATTACAACCCAGTGCTTAATTGCTGGATGGTTGTTAACTGGCTGTTCAGTCAGAAGTTCAGCAGCTGGAGTTGTTGTGCTTGCTTTCACTGTTCTGCCCTGCTGACAGTGTTGTGTCCCCCCGGCCCAGGCTGCCCCTGAAGCGCAGCGGTGCCTCCTTCACCGACGACTTCGAGCCGATGCCTCCGAAGCAGAGCAAGGATGAAGATCCCCAGAGAGGTAACCCTGGGATCCTGAATTCCCTGAGTTCCCCTGGCTCTGGGAGCGCTGGGGATGGCCCTGAGCACGCTGTTCTCTTGCAGTGCTGCTCTACGTGCGCAGGGAGGCCGAGGAGGTGTTCGATGCTCTCATGTTGAAGACCCCGGACCTGCAGGGCCTCAGGACAGCTGTGAGTGTCCCCAGAGCCCCTGGGGGATGGACAAACTGCAGATGGGAGGGAATGGGGTGGTGAGAGGGAGCTGGATGTGGGCTGCTCATCTCTCCCTCGGGAATGAAGTGGGAGCAGGAGCTGAGCTCTCCCAGGAGCTCCTGGCGTGGCTGTGTTGTGCTGCAGAGGGAGGATCACACCTCCTGCCCCATCCAGATCCTGCTGCAAGCCTCCTCTTATGACAGCACATTCATATTTTCCACTGTCAAACACCTTTTCCATTCTCCAGGCTGGAGATGTGTGATCCACAGCCCTCCCTGGCCTGGTGCTGGAATTCCCTGGCCGTGTTTGAGGAGCACAGGGACATATTTCTGTCATGGGTTATCAGCAGCATCTCTGATAACCCAGCCTCTCTGGAGACTGCTGGGAAGGAAACAAACAATAAAGCTCCCAGATTTGGGGTGGCTTTATGGCTGCTCTTTAAGCTCTGGTGGTTTTACAAACTTTTTAAAAATAGGGTGTTTGAAAAATGTCAGCCCAGAGGATTCTTTGCCATCTTCTCCTTCCCTCATCCCTCACCACAGAGAGTCAAAAACCTTCATGGAAAATGCTTGGCAAAAACCTACAAAACTCCTGGCACCCTGAGACCAAAACTGAACTTGCCCAGGAGAATGTTCAGGTCATGGTTTTGTTCTCTGGAGTAAAACTGAGTCCTTTGCTGCTGAACACATGGGCTGGGTGTTATCTTGGATTTTTATCATGGGAATTTCACTTTACAAGTACAAAGATTTGCCATGTTTTCTCTCACAGATTTCAGAAAAATATGGGCTTCCTGAAGAAAGCATTTATAAAGTCTACAAAAAGTGCAAAAGAGGGTGAGCTAATCTCTCATCTGCTTTTATGCTGTGCCTCCAAACCTGTCCTCTCCAGCCCCTGCCATTGGCTCCAAGAGCATTTTAACAAGATAATAAAAGGTAGAGCCATGTCAGGCTCTGCTATTTGGAGCATATAAAACTCAGATCTTTCTGGCCTTTAAAGATTTGGGATAATGCTTGTTTGTATTCTATTTGTTAGGAGGGTAAAGTCTCCCAAGGAATGGAAGCTGGGTGAAGGTGGAATTGTTTGGGGAGTTTAATGGTGATCCTTTGTGTCCCAGTCTAAAAGCTTGAGGTTATGGAGAACTTATCAGAGAGGGATCAGTGTTTGCCTCTCCAAAAAGTGCTGGAATGTTCCTGGCTCAGGATGAGGGATGGGACATGGAGAGCATCTGAATTTGTCAGGAGTTCTTCCACCTGTTGCTGATGCTGCCCCAGAAATGGGAATTTTCTCCCCAAAGGAAAAGACCAGCACTGGTGGCTGCAGGGGAGAGGCCACCTCACTCTGGCTTTGGTTTTGTTCATGCCCTGATCTGATAAGCAGCAAGTGTTGTGTGGTGATGACTGGGAGGGAAACCAGGCAGGAGGAGCAGAGAGGTATCTCATGAAAAGGGAAGGCCACACCTGGAAATTAGATTAAATAAATAATTTTGACACCTGGTTTAATGAAGGCTGGACGTGACCCATGCCAGCAGCTACTTCTGAAGTGTGGGGAGATTGGAGATATCTCCACTCTGCCTGGTGGCAGGGTCAGGCCCAGCTTCCTGCTCCCCCAGATTTAATTTTCAATAATTTTATCCTATTGCTCCACCCTAAACAATCTTGTCCTGGTAATTACAGCTTGAGGGGCAGATCTCCATCTGCTGAGAGCCCGTGGGGCTCAGTGGGGCTGCCTGGCCTGGCAGCAGGGCAGGACCTGCCCCAGCCATGGCCCTTCCACAGGGATGAACTCAGCAGGTGAACTCGGTCCCAGAGTGACTCAGGAGCAATAATGAACAATTTTGGATCTTGGTGAGGTTTGGTCTAGAGAAACAATCCAGGCTCAGATTCCTGATCAACATCCCTGGGATGGTTTGTGGTTTAGAAATCAGATGGGAGCGCGGCACAAGAGGCACAGGTGACTTCTCTGGCTCCCTGCTCTGAGACAGACACAGATAAAGGGGTCAGCTCTGCTGGTGAAGTTTTTGGGTACTCCAGAGTCTCTGTGGGGCAGCTGTTGGGGGCCAGGGCTGGGCTCCAGGGCTGGGGCTGGTGCTGGGATGCAGAAGATTCTGGATCACCAGGCAGACCCTGGGCAGTGCCAGACCCTGAGTCCCAGCACCTCCCTGGAATTCCTGACTGTGCCATGACAGAGTTCCCAGGCTTTGGTGACTGTTCTGTGCTGGACCTGCCCTTGTGTTGTGCCACGGCTTTAATGAATTAATTGATTAACAGTGGTTGAGCCCCTCAGAGTGGGGAAGGTGAGCTGCCCTCAATGTGCTGTATCTGATCCAGCCATTCTTTTTCTCTGTAGGATCCTGGTGAACATGGACAACAACATCATCCAGCACTACAGCAACCACATGGCCTTTCTGCTGGACATGGTAGAGGCAGAGAACAAGTTCCAGATCATCCTCAAGGAGCTCTAAAGAGCTGCAGGCAGCACTTCCTGGGACTTGTCTCCGAGCTGGCACGTGTGACCCCACAGAACTCAGCCCTGTGCCCTCTCTTGTTGCCTTGACTTGAACCCCCTGGCCCTGGGGCCGGGCCACAAACTGCTGTGAGATCATCCTGTGAACATGGAACTTGGCTCTGTTGAGTTGATATTATTAATATTATTATTATTATTATTTTTTATTATATTTTATTCCCTTCTGGCACTGGGCCTGAGCTGCTGTTTCAGAGCTGGGCACACGAAGCGACGCTGCCAGGCCTGGGCAGAGAGCAGAGCTGGTGGCCCTGGCAGTGACTGATGCCAGCCCAGGCCTCTTCACAGACCCTCCAGAGCTTTCCCAGCAGGGCTGAGCTCAGCTCTGAGCTCCTCTCTGGCACAGAGACTCTCCCAAACACAGCCACAGCTCCTGCTGAATGGACTCTGCCGCATCTCTGACTGTAAATACCACGGAGGCCTCCACAACCCTTGTTTATACATTTCTGTGTTGTTCCTTTTGTATTTTATATATGTATAAATATGCATTGTTTTATACTGGACTCAGTATGGTGACACAGAGCATTTCAAACACAGGCTGCTTCACATTTCTCCGTGAACTCCTTTTGTAACTGTGTTGTTTTGGATATTCCGTAGTAATAAAGGCTCGAGGACTGAAAATGAACATTTCCCCAGCTCTGGAGTCAGAGTTGGGCTGAGCTGGCCAGGAGCCAGGGCAGGGAGGTGACCCCAGAGGCACCAGAAGGGCTCGAGGTCTGTCCCCTCTGCAGTCCCCAGGTGTGACAGCACTGCAGGGAGGTTCTGGGCACTGCCCTGGGGGGAGGGATTTTGTCACACACCTTTGGGGACATTTTAAGCAAGTGAAAAGGAAATGCCCAGTTTGAATTCTGCTCACAGGAGAGCAGCTCTGCCTCTCCCTGTGTCCCAGGCCAGCTGTGTCCAATGTGGAATATTCAAACTCCTTCACCCTGTGCTCAAACTGCCTGAAGCTGTTTCCTATTTAGGCCATCAAATGCCAAGGGGAGCCCTGTATTTTCTAATTAATCCTCTGACCAGTGAAAGACCTCTGGCCTTTCCTCCTCCCTCTTCTTCATCCTCTGCTTTTTCCTGGCCATGTTAAAGATGCACCTGAGGCCTGTGAGTGGGGAGGAAAGAGCCCTGGGAAGAGGATTTGGAAATGTTGGAATGTGTCAGCTTGGTGAGTTTTGGATTACTTCAGTGCTGTTTGAGGATGGCCTCTAAGATGAGGTGCAGATAAGCTGAAGGTTTATCAGCCTTTGGGATCTCTCCAGCACTCCTTCCCTTCACATCACAAACTCCTTCTTCAGCAGGATGGCTGTGATTCAGTGTTGATTCTGAGTCCTCCTACAGCAGAATTTCAGCTCCAGTTCAAACCAGTCCCAGCAGGAATCCCCCAGTGCTGAAAGCTGCAGGTCCCCGTCCCCTGCTGTGCCAGGGGGTGTCAGGGCCCTGCTCTGGCTCTGGCTCCAGCCACGGTGACCGGTCCTGCCTGGCCATGGGGACAAGCAGAAGCTGCTCAGGCAGGGACAGAGGTGTCCCCCTGCCCTGGGGGAGCCTGGCAGTGGGGACAGATGGGGAGGGCATACAGAGTTGGGGGTCTGGGGACCTCTCACCCCACAATGAGTTGCTCTGGAAGTCTGATCTCGGGGTGAACTTCCAGCCAGATAAACATTCACCCATCTGAGCTCAGCTCCTCCAGCCTGACTCCAGACTCCAGCAGCACTACTCCTGATTTACAACAGCAAAAGCCATCTCAGTTGTAACTTCATGCTTCCAGCAGAACAAAGATGAATTTTGCCAGATTTTATGGGGTTCCCTGTCCCACAAACCCACCCTGGCTGCAGCTCCCTGAGGCTGCACTGTGAGAACAGCTCCCCTGGCTGGGGCTGGGATGGAGGCAGGGAACCGGGAGCTTTTTCTGTGCAGTTCTGGGTATTCCTGGCTGTGCTGGGGCTGAGAGCCGGTGCCTGCTGCCCAGGGAAGCGCTGCTGGGGCAGAGTCCCCAGCCCTGCCCCGCGAGGTGGGTGTTTTGCTGACTGCCTCAGTATCGCTCATCCCTTCCAGCCAAGGCGAGTTGCTGGGAGGTTGCGTAAAGCAGAGCTCCCAAATATGTGAGAGCATTCCTGACTCCTTGCCCGGAGCCCACCAGTTCCTTTTGAAGATTGAGATAGGAGCACCAAGGCGATTTTCACCCCGAGCACCAAAGGTCGTGTGAAAGCACCGAGGGTTTGCCAAGGGCTCCCCTGGGACCCTGCTCTGTGCTCACCTGAGCTGCTCTGGAGCTGGGCCTGGCAGGGGTGGCACAGGTGGCACAGGGTGGGTGCCAGAGCCCAGCCCTGAGCCAGCAGGATCTGTCCCCTGCCCTTCTCCCTTATTCCCAGCCTGGTCAGGACTGAGTCCCCTCCAGGGTGAGTCTCCAGCCTCCACCTGGGAGCTCTCAGATGAAAACACAAAGGAGCCCATTGGTTGTTTTAATTACTCAACATCTACAAAACTGGAAGCTTTCAAACCAATTTTAATTAATGATCCTCTTCCAATTCTTAGAAATTAGGGCACTAATTAGCTGCCCGTGAGCCAGCCTGGCAGGCCAGCACAGGCTCGTGGTGTGCGGAGTGTGAGGGAAATCCTGACGCAGGAATCCCACTCTGGCATCCCAGCTCTGCTGCTCACAGACCAGGAGCTGCTTCCTCCTCCAGCTGGGGAGGAAGGAAAACTTCCCCAGTGCTCCTGGTGGAAAAGTGCCCACAGGGACAGAGATGCATAAAAAGGAGCAGCAGGCTGAGAGCTGAGTTGTGCAAGAGCTCCGGTATCCCCAGTGCTGGGCGGAGGGCTCTGCTCCTCACTTCTACAAACAACACCCAGTTTCTGTGTCTTTATTCGTGCTTATTCACTCCTTGCATCATCAGGCAGGCAGCTGAGGAGCTCGGTGTGTGGTGTGGCTCTGCAGGGCTGTGAAGGGAAAAACAGCATCCTGTGTTTTGTTAGGACACCCACACGCCGTGTCCGGAGGTGCCCTGGTGCTGTGCCAGGCATGGGATGAGAGGATTAAAGTCAGGGAAATCAAACCCTGCAAGTGTGCAAAGCTTTAATAAACCTGCTGAGGGTTCCCTCTGCTCTCACTCATTTCCCCAGGTAGTGCCTTGGATTTATAGAATTAAATTTTGGGTGAGCTGGGCACTAGAACCCCCGGATTTGTGGGAATGTCCTGGAATCATCAGCTGGAAAGAGGCCACAGAGTCAGAGCTCAGTGCTCCCAGGCAGGGTGCACACACTTGGGATTTACCTCAGTGACTTGAGGGTTGTCTTGGCTGCACCTTTTACTGGGAGTCCTGGGTATGCTGAGCCCCAGCTCTGAGGCAGCCCAGGCATGAACTGCTGAATAACCAGCCTTTGGTAAAGCTGCTGCTCTGAATTGTGATTTCACCTCCCTTTGGGGCACAGCTCTGTGTGTTCATGCACTGCTGTGGCATTTCAGGCTTTTTGATCCAGTCCATAAAAGATTGGTGAAAATGAAAGGGGGATTTCTCCACAACTTGCAGAAGGTATTTCTTGCCATCCTCTTCCTCTCTAGTTCATTTGTAGCCACTGTGGGCCTGCTGTCCAGCCTGACCGCCCCGGCCTGGCCGTGCTCTCCAAGTGAGCCGGGCAGGATTTGTTGGCAGCTGAGCCAGGAGCTGCTCTGGGAGCTGCCAGCCTGGGACAGGAGCTGGAAGTGGCTCCAGAAAAGCCCTTTTCCCCCTTTTGTGCTGCCACAGGGGCTCAGGACAGAACAGTGTCACCAGAGTGTCCCCTCAGTGTCTGTGGCTGGGACAGAATCTGCAGCTGGGTGAGTTCAAACGCTGGGAATCCCAGCAGGAACTGCTCCTGTCTGTTCTCCCAGCCCTTCATAACCTCACAGAAGGACCTGGGGATCTCAGAAGGAATAAAAAGGGTAAGAAATTAGTGTGATTAACTGAAAAAATCGTTATTAGTCGTGCCTGGCAACAACAAGCCAAGGGGCACTGAGGGATCCCGCAGGATCCGGGGCTGTGGCTTCATCTGCTTCTGTCTCAGCATCCAGCTGTGCAGCTGCTGCTGCTCTGCCCGTCCCTGGCAGCCAGGGGTTGTGTTTAACCCATTCCTCTCACAGGTGGGCCCCTCCTCCTCCTGCTTCCCCAGGCATTTCCTGATTCCAAGCCTCAAGATGTGTTTCTTCTCCCATTTCACTCATTTCACTTTCTGGTGAAGCCAGAGCAAAAGGGTGCTGGGGGTTCTGATGCTGCTCTGTACCCCCAACCCTGTCCCCTGCAAGTGCTCCCCTCTTCCCATCCAAGAGAGGAATTCTGCAGCTGGAATGTGTTGTACCAGCAGTCAGAGTGATGTGAGTTTTACACACACACACAACTCACAGAACCTGTTTGTCCAAAGCCCTGACAGTCAGTGATGCTTTAATGGCCTTTACACTGCAAACATGCTTTTATTTTTTCAACCTTACCTTTAAAAATAATATTGTAAAATATGAACCAGCCAAGCTGGACAAGGAGCTGGTAGTGAGGACTCCAGAGCTGCTGTGAGGCCCTCGGGGTGATGCTTAATCCTCCTAAGCCAAAATCTTTGGGAAATAAAAAGCTTTTTATGGCCAGCCTGTGATGTTTATTGTAAAATACATGGATTTGCCACGGCCCAGCCTTGCAGGGACCTGGCTGCTCCCCTCTCCAGACAGCGCTGGAGCAGGGCAGTGATGCCAAAGGACCCCAGCTGGGAGTTCCTGCTGCTCTCCCACTGCCTGGAACAGTGTTTGTGTGTTTTCTGATAACACGGGCAGGGGATCTTCCCTCCTCTTATTTAATTTGCCCTTTCCTCCAGCCCTTTGTCCTTATCAAATCCCTCCTGGCATTGCTTCCCTCCCAGCTTCCTTTTCCCCAAACCCCTGATACAGGATCCAGCTGCTGAGAGATGTAGTAAAGATTTCCCTGTTGGGTAAGGAGAGCCCTGGGCTTTCTCATGGGTTCATTCTTTTCCAGGGTCAGGAATTTATTGATGATCTTAATCTCAGGCCAGGCAACATCGTCACTGTGTGGTGACAATAAATGTTTTTGAATGATCTGCTGATGGATTTATTTGTGTTCCCATGAGGATCCCAAGGGGTGGGAGGGCTTGGGAGAAGGCAGTTTCTGTTGATGCCTTTTCATCCCTGTGAACTGGTGGCAGGATGGAATACCTGGGAATGGCAGTTCTGCCTTTTACAATCCTCTCTCCAGCTCTCATTGCCAGCCCAGGGAAATGGCCAGGTTTTATCCATCAGCTGCCTTGGGACGCTGTGCAGGCATGAGTGTCCCTCTGAGTCCTGCCCAGGGGTCCCCAGATTTGGGTCTTTATCCTCAGTGTTCCTCTGGGGAGAGCTCAGGCACAAAGCCAGCCCAGCCTAAAACCTCTGCTTGGGATATGAGGAATCTTTTTCCAGCTCAGGTGTGCTCTGGCTGCTTGCTCCATGCAATGGGGATAAGCAGTGCCCCCCACATCCCAGGGTTTAATTACTGTTTGTAATTGTCTGGGAGATAAAGGGCCCCTGATCCACTGCTCCAGGCTGTTCCCAGCCCACACTGCTTCCCCTTCCTGGGGACAGCAGCCATCCCCTCTGGACCAGGACACAGAGGGACACTGGGATCACCCTCCTGTGGTGGATTTTCATATCTCCCATGGCAGTGGGGTGGCTTCCAGGCTGCACTCACCTGGAAGGAGTTTCCTTTGCTTCCCTGGCGGGTTTGTGTGACTGAGGCTGCAGACTCTGGAATAAATCTGGAGTGAATTCGTTGTTCCTTGTTAGGTGGGAAGTCTTTGGAAGGAAGATGTTACTCCCTTGATGAGGGAATCCATGTTGGGATGAGCTACAAGACAAACAGGAAAGGGATGTAAATACCAGCCCAGGCACTGAGGAAGGAGAGTGCACCCAGCAGGGAATGTGAGAAAGGAAAGGAACCGGTGTGACAGGACCGTGTGGGGAAGCTGGATTGGAAAAGTGCTGGGCAGAGCTGATTTCCAGGGACACTGATAAGGCAACACTGAACTCAGTCCTGAGCACAGGAACGAAAACACCATGAGCAATGTCAGGGAATCAAACAGGAGAGCTCCCAGCTGCTGTCAGCTGCCAGATAAACTCTGTGCCCTCACCCCAGGTCTCACCCTCAGCAGGCAAAGGGCCAGGAGATCTTTTGGGGCTTGGTACATTATGCACCAGTGTGGCTTCTCCTGAAGCCTCTGGCATTTCCAGTGTGGTGGGGTGTTCTGGTGATTCCTTACAGCCACTCCAAAGTCCCAAGGTGGTTTCTGGATGGTTCTCCCAGCAGAAGTTCCAAGGGACCTTCCTAGAGCCCATGGAAGTGTCCTGTGACACCTCAATCCAGCATTCCCTAGGAAGCTCTGGATTTGTGTGTGAAGGTGCTCCATGGGGAGCAGAGCCCAGGTCAGCACCATCCTCCCTCCCAGCTCCAGGCTCATGGACGTGGAAAAAGCCATTTCCCAAATTTTTCCAAATTAAATCCTCTCGTGGTTTGGGCCACAAACACTGCCAGGGCAAAAGTGGTATTGCTTTGTTTGCAGAAATGGTGAGTTTCAGAAGGAAAAAGGGCTTGGGGATGCCTTAGAATTGCCTTTCCCTGTGGGTGATGACCAACAAAGGCAAACGCACATTTCAAACTCAGTTGTCTCCCTGTGAGTGGTTACAGCACTCACACCAAAATCTGGGAGAGCTTCCCAAGGCTAGGAAGGGCTCTCTGTGGCTGCCCAGCACTCGACACACTGGCAGGAAATGTCTCTGTGTGACTGCTGTGTCCACAATCCTCCGTCACCTCTATGTGTCCCGTTTTGTTCAGGGCCCCGGAATTCCAGGTGGGAATTGCTGTCCTTGCAGTCAGGAATCCTGGGTGCCAAGGGTTGTGTGAGTTACCCCAAATCACACAATAGCTCACAGTGAAACGGGGACAAAATCCTTCAGACTGACAGGATGGAGCTTCACCTGCTGCAACATCCTCTGGGATTTAAAGCTTTTATTGTTCACTCCTGAGACTGACTTTCCTAATGGGTTGTAATGAGAGGAAACATCTGATGGCCAGGCCTCTCTCAGTGATGTGGGAGTGTCCAGTTCAAGGTGGAGAGAAGAGGGGCAGAAACCTCCCTGTATTACAGGTTCAGACACAGAGATGATGATTTTTCCCTGTCTTTTTTTCCCTTTGTTTCCTGGTGAATGCTGAGATGTTGAACTGCCTTTGTTGTAACACAGGGTTTGGTCCCAGAGCTGAGGATGGCTTTCAGGTCTGCTTGGACACTTTTTCCTTGTTTCTCACTCCTTTTTTTCCCCCCCTCAATTTTAATCTGTCACTCAAAACCAGAACCTCCAGTGACTACACAAAAGTTCCTTTTTGCTGAGCGAGAGCAGCGACCACAAAACTGCAGGATCTGTCCACCTTCTTCTTCTGAGATATCTCTTTGTCTAAAGTCATAAATTATCAGCCACTGCCATCTTTTAAATAGATAGTTTCCTGTTCTGCCTCTTGTATTTTAGATATTATCTCCCCCAGTAAATCATGAGTCAGTGATTAATTCAAGAAGGCCGTTCCCAGAAGCAAATTCTTACAATGTTAAAATTAATATGATGCAGAGCCATTATACCATGATAGAGAAAATAATTATGGCCTGCAAATCAGTTTAATCAACACAGAACATGCTGGGGCAGGTGCTCAGCCTGAGTCACTGCAGCAGAGTTCAGAGTCCCAGTGCAGGGGCTGTGTGAGTGAGCAGGATTGTGCTGAGCCCCAGGACCGCGCTCTGCACACCCAGCTTGGGAGGGAAAACACCTCTGCTGATGTATAAATACCTATAAAAGCATGAATTGCTTCAGGAACGTGCATGCAGCCAGTTAAGGTGTCTCAGCTGATGAGTGGTGGCTTCTGAAGCTGATTAAGTTGTGTCTTCACTTGGTGTTAAGCAGCTCTGCAAAGTCATCACATATTCTGGAGTCTGCCTCAGCACAGGGGATGGAGCTGCTTTAGGAGCAGTCTGAGAGGGGACAACTCACTGGGGAATGGCTCAAAACTGGGGAAAAATCTCTCTCCAGAAATAACAAAACAACCCCAAAGCAATCAGAGCTGCAGCAAGACAGCACAGAAGGGACCCAGCAGCCCAGGAGGTGTGTGTATGTTATTATAAACTATCTGATAATGGATAATGACACCCGGTGTTCTGTTAACAGCTCCCACATCTCAAAACACCCTGGATTCCTGTGGATGAAGGCTTACAACACCCTGCTGCAGCCTGGGCACCCTGCAGGGCTGGGCAGCAGGCACAGAACAGTTAAGTGACTTGCACAAGGGTGAATCAGCAGGACTTGAGGAACTCAACCTGAAGGCAGGTGCTGAGCTGGAGGAACAGGCAGAGATTGTCAGCAGTGTCCCCAGGTGTGACCCTGAGCCCAGCAGTGCCATGAGGTGTGACCCTGAGCCCAACAGTGTCCCCGGGTGTGACCCTGAGCCCAGCAGTGTCCCCAGCTGTGACCCTGCACCCCCTGAGCCCATCAGTGTCCCCAGGTGTGACCCTGAGCCCAGCAGTGTCCCCTGCACCCCCTGAGCCCAGCAGTGTCCCCAGCTGTGACCCTGCACCCCCTGAGCCCAGCAGTGTCCCCAGGTGTCACCTGCCAGTACATTTTTTAGATTTAGGGTGGCCAGAACCAAACCCACCATTCCAGCACCACCAGTGCTGGTATTATTGGATTTCCTGTATTGCTTTCCAAGTCACACAAATTTCATGCTTTAATTTTAACTGTGCATTGAGGTAGGTGCCTCCAGATTTTAAAAATCTTAATCCCTTAATGGAAGCCTCTTGTCGCACGGAAAGCCAAGTGATTCTGGGATGAGGAAGATCAAATTTCTCTGCTGTCTACAGAGCAATTTGTACAGACTGGGAGCCACAGCACATCTAAAATCTCACCTGTAACTTCTGAGCTGGGCCTAATTAATGCAGCATGTGGGCAGAATGCTTTATTTGCAGTACCACACCTTCCCTGCTTCTCTTCTTTTCCTGGGCTTTTCAAAAAGAGAACTGGGCAGGATTCTATTTATAGAGACAAATAAATCCAGCCCTGCCTGTGTTGTACATGATCCCTCCAGCTTTTCAGATGTGGTCCCAAGAAGGGCTGAATGCCCTTCATGTCCTGCTTCTGCCAATCCCAGTGGGAACTGGAAGGCCTGGGACCATAGAAGATAAAAGAAACAGCTTTATACTAACACAAATGTGAAAATATTCCAGTGTGTAGGATGGAAAGAGCTGAAGTTCCTGATCTTTAGCAACATTGTGTGAACTTCATTAATTGTCTTGTCTGCCAGTTACCAATGGAATACTCTGGAAGTGCCCTGGTTCCTGCTCTGGTGACTTGAGAGTTGGGTTCTGGCAGTGATCCAATGCCCCCTCCCCAAATGGCACAGGAGGCAAAGAACAGGGAAAGGCCTGGGACTGAAGAACAAGGCAATGGGCAGCTGAGGGGAAAATGAAGCAGCTGGGGCATTGTTCCACTCATACAGACATGAGGATGAAAGGATTTAACTGTGCTTGGCAAGAGCAAGAAGGAGCAGGGAAGATGCCAGGCTCAAAGAGGGGGAATGGATGAGCCAAAGGCTGATTAAAAAACCCCATCCAGATGGAACCTGTGCTTAGCCACAGCAGCAGCAACCCTGGAATGACTCAGACCCCTCAAGGAACAACCAGGAATGGCTGGGAGGGGAATGGAGGCTCCTGCTCTGCTTGGCCTCACAAAAAGCTGAAGGGAAGAGTGGCAGGGAGTGGGCAGGCAGTGCTGGCTGTGGCAGAAGGTGCTGATTTACAGTGAGATCACGGGGAACTCTCCCTGCTCCGTTTTCCTCCCTCAGCTGAGCTGTTCCTGCTGCATGCACGGACAAGTGGAACGGTGCTACTATGGTGCTAAAAATAACAAACCCCAAATATGGGCCATTCCATGAAAACTGGGAGAGCTTGGAAAGGAATCAGACCCCAAGGAATTGGTCTTCTGGTGGATTCAGCCTTTCCTGTAAAAATACCCCCTGAGTTATCAAGCAGCTGAGCACAAATCACCTTTTCCACTTATTTTAATTTGTAGAAAAACGCTTCAGGACAGACCATAATTTGAGGCTCCACAAATTTCAGCAGAGCTGCTCTGACTTGGGCTGCTCCAAAATTACAGGAGATTTCTGAAGATGTGGTCTGAGGGTTCATCTGCAGGGGGTAGGGATCCTGAGCCAGCTGTTCCTTATCAACAACCAGAACCAGAACAGAACCCACTGCCCTGGGTCCATCTCCACGTGGTCCTGCCATGTGCTTGAGGTTGTCCAGCCCGTGCTCCGTGGCCAGCGGGGTTGTGCTGAGGGAAGCAGGACCTGCCCAATTCTGCTGGAGCTGATTATTAAAATTGCAGCAGGTTTCCAGAGCAGCTGATAAAAAACTGCATCCGCAAGCTCCTTCTGCCCTGGTGCTGCCAGGCTTGGCTGCTGCTGCCCAGCCTGGGAGGGCTGGATGCAATCCCTGCCCAGCAAGGGCAGCACGTGCCAGGGAAAGGCTCTGGAGCCCTTCTCCCATCCTGTGCATCCAGCTCTGGGTTTGGCACATCCATCATCACCCCGGTGCTGCTGAGGGTAATTGGAGATTAGGCACCTCCACACCCTTGGAGATTCAGCTCCTGCACACCTCAGAGTGCCCTCAGAGTCCCTGGAATGGTGTTTGGGTGATGCAAGGGGCACTGTGCTGTGAGGGAAATCCAGCAGGAGCAGCTCCCAGCCCCAGTGGCCTGGCTCCTGAAGGGATGTGTGCAGGCAGGGCTGAACTGGCAGAGTGACACAAGTGGGTCAAGTCACCTGCTGGGTGATCTAGGTCAGGCACTGAGAGGAAAATAAGCTCTTTCCACTGCCTAAATTACAAGCGGGTAACTTCCCATCCTGGCATTTATCCCTGACTCAAGGAATGTGCTCCAGAATGGCTGAGGGGGACACAGCCAAGTCCCAGCAGCCCCCAAAAGGCTGATGGGTCCAGTGCTTCCCCTCCCGACCTGCTGCAGGAACTCGTCTCCAGGGATGAAGCCTAGGAGAGAAGCAGCCAAGCCCTTGTGTAGTTTGTGGCTTGGCCTCCTGCCCACTCTGCCCTTCAAGCAGGAAATTCTCAAAGGGAAGGGAGTGCTTTGTGAAGCTCCCTGCAGACTCTGCCTGCTGTGCTTTAGTCACAGCTCAGCATCAGGTCAGCTGCTTGCTGGAAGCTGACCAGGCAGACTGATGGCGCCTACAGAAAGTCTTTAAGCAACTTCTCCCCCTTGATCATTTTCCCCTCGTCTTTTTTTGTCCTTTACGTCCTTGATTGCTGTTATTCAAGCCTGAGATAATGCACTCCTGATATCACTGAGATGGGAGAGACAAGCAAAGAGCAAGAGATCAAAGGAAGGAGAAGAAAGAGAAGATGCCAAAGGCAGGAGAAGAAAGAGGGGAAGATGCCAAACACTTCCTTGATTTACCTACTTTACATACCTGGTACAGAGTCTCAGAAATCCTTCATGTACGTAATTTTGGGAGTTCTGGGCTTACCACGTAGTCCCCAGACAGCAGGAGGCTGTGGAAGGGCATCCTCCTTCCCGCAGCTGAGGAAGCAGCTGGGAAGGTGCATCCAGAAAGCCCAGGAGGCCCTTGGCAGCTCAGAGTGTTGGCTGGGCTTGAAAAGGAGCCCGGTCTGGAGCAGGCTGGGGAAGCGCTGCGGGTTTAACGCATCTTTCTGCTTCCCTCTGCTGGTGGAAGGAGGGTGTAATTCCTGAAAATCAGGGATCGGCGGGAAGGGTGGAAAAAGGTGGGGAGAAGGGTCCCTGGTGATATCCCTGAGCGCTTTGAATGTGTGCCTGAAGAAATGCAACCTGCGTGTCCTGGAGGGCTCAAAAACTTGGGGAAAACAGGGCCAGAGCTGGCGGGTGGGAGACGGGGAGGTGATACAAATGAGATGAGGTTATCTGGAGTAATTTCCAGGCTTAAACCACTAATATTGCATTATCATTTCTCCTTCTGCTATCAGTTGTGATTACAAAGTTAATTTAATGACCTTGATCTAAACATGGTTGCTATTCTTGTCGCAGAACAGGATCATTATCAGTGGCAAAATAACCCCCGCATAAACTTCAAACTTTTTTGTTACTTGGTTGTACTGAAATCCCTTTGACTGAGATTTAAATATCTTTTTCTCCAGTTTGAGATCCCTTTCCTGTGGTGTTTAGAAGGAAATCTTGAAACCTAAGAACAGCCAAGGATAGCAACACTGAATATGGAGATGCAGGAAACATGTGAATACAACAGCAGCTTTCATTTGAAATGGGAGGTGTAAGATAAAGGCAAATCCAACATTAATGCAGTATTCCTGTCAGAAAATCAGCAGTCACTCCTGCGTTTCATTTCCCTGTTTTATGTAAAAAACCCCTTGGAAGCACTGCTGTTGATGAATGTTTTGTTTGATGGCATTTCTTATTCCCTTGTGCTGGCTTATCCCCAAGAGGAGGAATTTTGGACCTGGGACATCTCTAACCCACTGTGGCTATAAATAGTTCCAGATATCCCTTGATTTGCTCCAGTAACAAACCCTGGCTATGTTGAGTGAAAAACCTTGGCGTGGTTGAGGTTTTCACCCTTCAGCTCTGCACTCACTGCGGTAAATGCTGTTTATTTTCGGGACATGGCACCGAGTGGTGCTGTTCTGCTTGGGGTAGCTCGTGCCCCACAGCATCCCTGAGCTGGAGAGGCAGGGATCCGGGCACAGCCCACATGTACGGTGTCACGGCCCTGACAGAGCCGTGATTTTATTTCTGAGCTCAGGCCCAGCTCTGAACACGCAGCAGGGCCGAGGCTCCAGAGCTGGCCCAGGTCAGCCATGGCCTTTGCTGTCTCCTTTGAGAGAACCCGGCGCTCGGGGGCGAGAGGAGTCCAGGTGAGGGATGAGGTGAGGCCTCAGGTGAGGGCGCCACCAGAAGTCGCCTCACGCTCCAGCCCCGCCCAGGTGAGGCGGCGCGGGGCACGCTGGGAACGGCGGGTACCTGAGCGCCTAAGGCGGCGCGGGGAGCAGTGGGGAGACCCCCGACCCCGCTCAGGTGAGGTGTGGGTCTGTATCTGCCCGTACCTGCCCGCTCCTGCCGGTGCATCCCCGGCCCTCGGCGGCACCGGGAATGCGGACACCCGGTTGCCGAGACAACAGCCGCCTCAGCTCTCCTCCAATCAGCGTGCCTGTTACTTTGATCACGCGGCAGACGCCCAATCACAGGCGAGCTCTCAGCGCCACAGCGGCTGGTTTAAGGTGGCTCGGTGGATGCGCTTTGCGCATGCGCCTTAAGGCGGCTGCGGCAGTTGTTCGTGCCAAGGGGAACCGCGCGCACGGGAAGGGCGGGAGGAACGGGTCCCACCGGGGAAAAGNCCCTCACAAACGGCAGATTTTTCCCGTTCCTGGCTGTTGCGCCGGGGCTGCTCAGGGGAGGCTGCCGGGCAGGACGGGTCCCGGGGCGCCGGGGGTGAGCAGGGGCAGGGCCGGGGGCTCGGGCTGGGGATGCTGAGTTCTCCCCGTGTGCCGGGCCCTGGCACGGCCTCAGCTGATCCCCCTCTGACAGGGCCCGGCTGCTGGTGCCGCTCCCTGAGCTCTCCGGGCCTGCACGGAGCTCGTGTGGTGCTCTCCAGACCTGTTTGGCTGTGAGAAATCCGGGCTGCAGGCTGCTGGCTGGCAGGGATTCCCCTGCGTTGAGCTGTGCTTGCTGTCATGCCCAGCACGTGGGGATGGATGGGGTGACTCACGGAGCTGGTCCCGAGCACGCTGGAGCTTCAGGGGGGAGGGAAATGAAAAGCGGAGCTTGGAGGACTTGAGAGGCTTTGTGATGCTGTTAAATGCCAGCTGAGTGTGTCACCCCTGAGGCCCAGCCAGCTCACAAGAGCTTGTAAAGCAAAGTCTCTCTGAGTTTGTGTCCAAGGCTTTCTAAGAAGACATTTAAAATCTGCTTTCCTGTTCTATGTGCAGCTGTGAGTTTGATTCCAGGGGCATTTCTGTGGCCTGTCCTTCATTGCAGGTTTTGGACCACTGATTTACTTGATCTGATTCTTTGATTTTTATTTCTTTTTTCCCCTTAGATTCATCTTGAAGGAATAGAATTCTTCTGCTTCGCTGGCTGGGAACAGTGGCTCATCCACCCTTCCTCCTGCCTGCAGTGCCCACCCTGACACAGGGCAGGGGAAGGGAAGCAGCAGGACTTGTTTGTGCTTCCCTGGACTTGCCCAAGGGAACAGGATGGATGGCAGTGAGCTGTACCAAAAGTTGATTCCAGCAGGGTCCAGGTCTCTTTTTTAAAGAGAACTTCCAGCATCAAAAAGGCTGAAAAGTAAAAAACAAATCAAAATGGAAGGAGGCAACAGCCCCGGTCTGCAGCTTCAGCAGCTCCCGTTGGCCACAGCAGCAGTTTCTGTGCAGCCACACACAGACTCCTTCTCCTACAAGGTCAGTTTCCCACCCTATCGGGGAAGTTTCCATCCCCAGAAGGCTCTGACTATTGGAATGAGCTGATAACGATGCTGCTTTGGGGTTATTTTCTGCAGAAAGGGCTCTGTCTTTGTGTGCAGCCATTCCTGGGGTGTGTCCAGTGCACAGTGAGAGCAAGAGAGAAATTCTGTGTCTGCAGAGCAGAGGAGCTGGAGGAAGGAGTGGCAGTGGGAAGGGGTGGAGGTGTTTGGGTGCAGTGATTCTGACAGGTGCCTTTTCATCCACAGCCATGCAGCAGTAACAGAGCAGAGTTGTGGTTTGCTCTGTGTTCAGGTGTTTGAGTTTCAGAGACTGCAGCTGGGTGGGACATGGGGCTGTAATTCCTCATTGTTCTCCAGCTGGGAACAGATAAATTCCCTCTGAATCCCAGATTCTGAAGGTGCTCAGAAAATCTCATCAAAAAGAGCTTTTTTCCTATTTTTTCCTTTGAGACCACAGTGCTGGGCCGTTGTGGAAGTTGACCCAAGTGCTGTTGACCTGAGGCTGTCACAGCCCAGAGAACTCTGTGGTCCCACAGTGACATCCTCCTGCCACCTCCTCTGTCTGTCCTGGGAACCTTTCTCTGGTGCTTTTGAGTGAAGCTGTTTGGGTGAATCTTATTCTTGTGCATTCTGATAAAGAGGTTTTTGTTCTGCTGCTAAGAATTTGAAATCTGGAAGTTCTTCTGTGTACAAGAAAAATCAAGATTAGTCCATTTATTCATATTCACATCAGAACGTGAGTTGGGTTATCCCAAATCCATCCAAGTAAGGTCTGGGCTGAAGGAACAGTGCTAATGATATTTAATGAGATTTAGGCAGTTTTGGGAGCACCCAAATGTTCAGTGGCCTCAGGCTCTTCCTTCAGTCCTCCTCTACATCTCCTTTGTGACTCAGCCTGCTTTGCATCCTTGCTTTATTTTGAATTCCACCTTTAGAGCGTGAGAATTGTTGCTGAGCTGTGAATGCCAGTGCAGAAGAGCTTTGGGACTGGCTGAGAGCTGTCAGCAGTTCCCTGTGACTTTGGGAATAACTGGTTTATACAAAAAGCAGATCAAAATCTGTGATAATTGGGCTGCCTCATCACATGGCCTGAATTAGTGACTGAACCAGCAGAGGTCACAAGTGGAGAAGAGCAAAATAGTTGGGAAGCAGAGGTTCCTGATCCATTCTCTGTCAAATTCCAGGGTAATAAAATCCTCAGAAATGAGTTTTTCAAAGGGAAGAATGAGTGATGATGTGGGGTTTTTTTAGCCTTATCTTCCTCTCCTCTGAGAAACTGCAAATAAATTGAAGTCTCTTGGAGAAAGTGGCTGTTGAGTCTTATCTTCCACCTGAGTTCACAGGTCTGGAGCACAGCCACAGCACTTATCAGTAGGAAGGGAGGAAGATAAACAGGTTTTATTGACAGGTGGGTGTTGGACCGGATGACCTTTAAAGGTCCCTTCCAACCCAGGCTATTCCCTGATTCAGGAATGGTTTTAAAAGTCTGCTCTCCTCCAGAGTGTGCAAACCCCTCTGAGTTCCTTGGCCAAATTGAATAATTGTGTGTTCCATTTGTTTTTACAGGAGAACTTGATTGGGGCACTTCTGGCTATTTTTGGACATCTTGTCAGCAGCATTGCCCTCAACCTCCAGGTGAATGCCCTGAAGCAAAAACACTCACCCTGCACTGAAACAAACCATCAAACATGACAAAGCTGCTTTATTTCTGTTTTCTTGCCTAGAAATACAGCCACATCAGGCTGGCAGGCTCCAAAGACCCCCGGGCCTACTTCACAACCAAAACCTGGTGGAGTGGATTTCTGCTGCTGGTGCTGGGAGAACTGGGAGTGTTTTCCTCCTACGCCTTTGCTCCTCTCTCACTGATTGTGCCCCTCAGTGCAGTGTCTGTTGTGGGTAAGGAGGAAAGAGCCTGAGTGTGTTCCAGTGGGAGATTCCTGACTCCAGAATTCACTGTTTCTCTCTTTCTTTTTTTTTTTTCCATAGCTAGTGCAATCATAGGAATTATATTTATTAAAGAAAAATGGAAGCCCAAGGAATTTTTGAGTAAGTTCCACAGTTTCTTTTCATTTTTCCTCTGTGTTTACAATTCACACACAGCACAGCCCCTCAGGAATTATAATTACAGGGATGGCAAGGTCTCATTAGCACCCCTTGAATTAAATGTGTCATCTCATCCACTGTTTATTACAAATGGATTTTTTTTTCTCATGATTTGTGCCAAATCCCCTGAACCTCACAGAATTTAGAAACAAGCAGAAGTTGCAGCCCTGATTCTGCAGCAGCACAGGCACAAGGGAATGAGCTGAATTCCTTAAACATGGAGGTGTTTGCAGAAGTGGGAAAAGGGCAATGCCAGGCAGGATCAGCCCCAGACACAGATCTTGTAGCTTCATTTATTTAGCAGATGCCACCTGGTTCCAACTTTACCACACCCCCAGTGCCCCTGGTGGCTGCACAATTTTGGAGGTGGGGCAGGAAGGGCATGCAGGAGTCCCCCAGAGGAACATCCACCATGGAACTGATGGTCCTGTGGGATTAATTCATTAATTCTTTGCATCCCAGTCCCTCATTAACCCTGTCCTCTCCTGTTCCTGTGCCTGCCCAAGGGCGCTATGTGCTGTCCTTCGTAGGCTGTGGCCTGGCAGTTGTTGGCACTTACCTGCTGGTGACGTTTGGACCCAACAGCCACGAGAAGATGACAGCAGAAAACATCACCAGGCATTTAGTGAGCTGGCCATTCCTGCTCTACATGGTGAGGGGCCATGGAGGGTGAGGTGGATTTCTGCTGGGGGGACTTTGATTTCCAATGTTCCTTGTGTGCTCTCGTGAACCTGGGACAGCTTTTCCAGGTGTCAGACACATGCTCAGCTCCTTTTGTTTCTCTGAATTCTGTAGGATTAAATTTCTGTGACTGAAAATTTACTGGTGCCTGAATCTGGGCTTTTTCCACAGTGACTTTCTCTGGACCTGCAAATCTCTTAATGAAAATCCCATGAACAAAGAAAATTTGTGTTTTAATGAAGATAATCTTGGGCATTGCCCCAGGATCACTTGTGGAAGCTCAGTGCAGAAAGCAGACTGAGATCTCTCCTGATATTCAGTCAGGACAATTTGATCAGCTGCTTTACCATAAATCTAACACCAAAAATTCCCCGTGTTTCCTGTTCTGCAAGACGCTGCTGAATATCTCCTCTAACTGGAATCTAAATTGATGCTGAATTTGGTCTATAATTGTGTGGGATCCCCAGTTCCCTTTGATTTGCCCTATTCTAATATTTAATTGGCTCAAAATCTCATTTACTGCCAACCCCATGTGCTCTGCATCTCTGACATTCCCATTTCTCTCTTCTGTAGCTTGTGGAGATCAT